TATTCTGGGGGAAGAGAAGAAAAGTTGATCTGTGCATTTCATGCACAGGTCACCTGTTCTGCTTCTGTCATTCCTCATCTTCCCAACATGAGAAAAGTGCAAGACTGGCTTTAAAAGAGGATATTCGCAGCTAACCTTATAGACCCTAGCAAATCAGCGTGCATTGCAATTGCAAGTAAGGATGATAAGGTTGTGGGCTGTGGGTGATAAGCCAAGAGACTATTTGAATTGAAGTGACTGCTTCTGACGACCTTCTTTTATACCCAAGATTCAAGGGAAGCTCTGCATCTTTTGTTTGCTTTGTGAAGCTTATCTCAGGTGGTTACAACTACAGGATTCAAGCCAAAGCCCGGACCCTGATGATTTAATTAGATATGCCAAAGAATGGGATTTTTATCGAATGTTTGGAATAGCATCCCTAGGTAAGATCGAAGTTTATTTGCTGTTGTTGTTGCCAAATAGTCTTTTAAGAGTGTAATTTGATGCGTTTTAGACTTGTCTGAAATGCCTTTAAATAGCGAATGCAGAATTTCTGTGTTGTAATGTTCATTCATTATTACTCTCTCATCTTCCACTGATTTTGCTTAGTTATTGTGCTTTGTTTTAATCGTAAATTGCTTTGAGCTGTTTTGGAAGTATGGTGTATAAGTACAAACCACAATCCTTTGCATGTTATCAGTTGTTGTGCTTGAGGGCCCTGAAAGAACAATAAGTGGCTTTTGGGGGAGCATGGAATGCTACTGTGGATCAAAGGAGCCTGAAAAATCTTTGCAGTTCTCTGAATCCTAGGAATTAGAGATATCATTGAGATTAGAGATATTATTGTTTCTGTCTTTGCATAACTTTTGGATGATCCTGTTCATATACTTGTTGCTAAGTACATGGTCCATCCCCAAAAGATACATATTTCCAATCAAAACTGCTTTAAAAGCACCTTGTGAATATACATACTAAACTATTATACAGACTTCTTATTTATAATTGATCATTTAAGGAGCACTTTAAAATCTCAGTTCTTAAAATAGCTTGTTTCATCCCTCTTCCATTCAGAACAAGCTGCCTTTTTGATTGGCATCTTCACTGCTCTGTGGTTAGCAAGACCGAGAGTCCTACAAACCAAGGCAGATTTCATCTTACTTCTGAAAGCGCTGCTGCTGTCTAGTTACGGAAAACTTCTGCTGATTCCAGCTGTTATTTGGGAGCATGACTATACTCATTTGTGTCTCAAGCTCATTAAAGTATTTGTCCTGACATCAAATTCTCAAGCAATTAGAGGTATTTTTCTCATTTTCTACTACTAGTATAATTATGTTTTGAAAGAGGTCAAAGTCTGACACATTCTTTCAGTCATAGCATATAGCTGATCCAGGTTCATCCCCCTGTTGACATGTCGAGCATCAAGCTATAAAACTGCAGAGAACTTAAATTTTATTCTCTGAGTCGTAAACTCCAGTGGAAAGAGACTGAAGTGTGTAACAGCTGACCCGAATCT